ACGCAAGTTCACATTCTTGACTTGACCGCACTCGCCGAATGCACTTTTGAATGCCGCCTCTGGGCTCGTGGCGTTTGGACAACTCGGCCGAGTACGCCTTCTTCCACGCAATGGCCTGGTGGCGGCGCTTTGCCCTCCCCTACCTGCTCTTCTACGCGGTGGAGACCGTCGTGAATCCCCATGACGACACATTGCGGCCGCCGGACAATGGAGGAAGCCAGGATGGGCATGCAGGAGACAATGTTCTACGTCGCTGGAATGCACAGGAGATTGCAGATGCCCACGCAAGTGCCTGGTCGAACGACACGTGGACGACCACTCCTACTTCGGGGATGGGCGGCTCAGCATGGGACGAAGCCCCTGGTACTCTGACTACAGGGGCGATGTTGCCTGCTTCCTCATCCTCGGGGGTGACTATGCCTGTGTTGGCTTCTTCCTCTACATTTTCCCCATGCCCATCATTGTCCGCTATGCCGCTGTCGTCTACTATGCGTCCCTCATCGTCGACCTGGAGTACGTCAGCATGGGATGAGCCTCCGCTGGCTGCGACGGGGTCCTCTTCGTCTTCGTCCTCCTCTACGACTTGGTCTGCACGCAGGGCCGGGTGCCAGGAAGATGTCAGTGCTTACATGGCTAGCCGTTGGGACGAAGATGTCTGCCTCAGCCTGCAAGAAGAAGAACTTGAACAGTGGCAAGCGTCCGGATTCCAGGCTGAGACAATGGGCGCCCCTCCTCTTGCACCGATTCCAGAGGATCTCCCTCTACCTTTCGCGGTTGAAGTCCCCGAGCCGGCATACAGCAACCATGGTTCTGAGAAGGGCGACTGGCTGGCTGCTGTAATGGACACCCGGCACCTGCGAAGACGAGCACAGGAAGACGACAGCAACCAAGTTTCGGAGAAGGGCGACTGGTTGGCAGCTGTAATGGACACCCGGCACCTGCGAAGACGAGCACCGGCAGACGACGCTCGACCTCCTCATGGCCGTGACCCCACCACGCTGACTTCCCCGTCGGGCTCCTCCAGATGCTCTTCTTTAACCGATGACTTGCAGGGGATCACACAGAGAGGGACGACAACGAGGCCTGGTGTTGACAGGTGGCACCATCCAGATGGCAGGGTCAGAAACCGCAGACAAGAACGTCTTCAGCGAGAACAAGATGAAGGCGTCAACCCACCGGCCAACAACGACAGCGATGTGCCCCCTTTCACCGTCACTGGTCACGGCATGCAGGGCAACGAGCGAACAGTGAAGGCCGTGACGTTCTACGGGCATGACTTCTCCGTGCGTTGTGATCACCCTGGAGGCAACAATGAGACCACCACGGCCGGCAACGACTCCACTACAGGTGAGAACAGCAGTTGATGGTCGGAACCTTCCTCCAACCCTCCCCCTGCCCAACAGGTGGGATTCTGGTCTCAAGGAGTATGGTGTCCTCGGGAACGCACACCAGCTGAGCAGCGTGCACATAGGGGCGGCATGGGTCCTCAACGTCTTCAAAGGGAAATGAACCGGATGCAAGCCTACTGGTCGGGACAATGGAAACCTGCTTGGCTGGTGAAGTACATTGACGACAAGGAGCAACGCCAACAGGCCGCCACGACATCCTCGTCGGCTTCCTCCGCTACGCCAAGTGTGAATGTTGGGGGTGATTTCTCCAGCCAGGACATTGTCAACCCTTCGGCGGGCGATCCCACTGAACTCACAGACGCAGACCCGTGGTCTGGGCAATGGCAGCAGTGGTCAAACCAGTCTTGGTGGGGATGGTGGTCGTGGGATGAACGAGGCCACCAAGAACCCTGGACATGGACTACGACATCCTCGACCTCGGTGGGTGACTTCTTTGACTTCCCGCCGAACTTCGGTCTCTTCCCTCACGTGACCCCAGTGCCGCCGGAAGTGGAGGAGACCCTATTTATGCAACTTACTGGGGCGGAGAGAAGCACTCTGCAAGAAAACGGAGTGCCAACTGAGGCCATCAGAAGGGTTGAGGAGTTGTTGGACAGGTTGGATGACCACAATGCCTTCGAGTCTGGCCCCGAGGCTCGCTGGGCACTCTGCAGGCTAGTTCAACGGGCAGAAGATGGGGTCCAGTGCTTGGAGTCTATCCTCGAGGTGCTTCATCGGCGCCTGCGCCCCCGCGGCTATCTTCCCGTCGTCCGAGTTCCACGGCAAGACCATGAGAGGATGCGTTTCTTCACGTGGGTGAGACAATACAGGACCCTCTTTGTCACGTCCCTGGAACGCCATCTCTCCGTGACATTGCAGAATAGTGAGGGCCTTGATTCCCCGCCCCCTCCTTATGATCGGGTCCGGCCAAACCCTGCAAACAGCTCCATCGGGATCGTAGCCGGGCAAGGACCAGCTGAAGGAGCTCCCACTTCAGTCGCCTCCTCTTCCGAGGTGGCGGTTGCAAATGCGGAACCGGAAGCCAATGGCAGCTCGTCGTCGTCCTCCAGTCCCACCATGGCAGTCAGCATACGGAGCAGATCGCCGAGACGCGAAGTGGAGACTGCCGTCGCCAACACCAGCGAGGCCACAACCCATGCGCTGAGGCCCGTGCAAGTAGGAGAAGAAGTACGACGGGCTCTTGATGGTGAACTCTTAGGTATATGGAGAGAACCTCCGGAGTCAACCACTTCATCCACCTCCACTACGCCGTCTCTTGCCATTTCTCCCATGGAGACTTTGAGTGCCCTTGCTACTTTGACGTCTACTACGTGCTCGCCGACCTCTACGTTCACGCCCTCCTGTACCTCTACTACATCGACATCCACTACATGCTCGTCGACCTCGACTCCTTCGACTGCAACGACATGGGGTGACAGACCGCAAACGTCAGTGACCCTCCCGTGGCACCAATGGCTGACAAATGGGTCAACGCACGTCTTAGGGGTGACATCATCTCTGACCACCTCTTCACAATCTTCTTCCTCGACGTGTCTGTTTGGGGTGACTACGTTCTCAACAACCTGGCTCACGGGAGAGAACTGCGAGTACTACTTTGTTGGGGTGACATCCACAACGACCAGCACCTCGTCACAGCTGCTTTCCGAGGACGCTGTAAGAGACGCGGTTAACCAGGACATGTGGCATGGCAATGACGCAGATGTCATCGACCTCATCCGCAGGCTCCAGGACCGGCAGAGAGGCTTGCACCGACTACAGCATCAGGTGAACGTGGCACTTGAAGAATGTTTGACGTGGCTGCGTCGTAGCCAACACGGTCTACCCCTCAATGCCGCCGCCATGGAGCGAAGAATTTGGGAAGTGGTCTGTAGAGAGTCCTCGTCGAGCTCTCCGCTGTCGCCGCTTGGATACACTGGCTTGACCGAACCACATTCTGCTCTTCTTCTGCCTGGGTTCCCTCCTACTTTGGATGCACTGGCAGAACTGCTACCAGGAGTTGCTCCACACACAGCAGTCGGCCTACGCAGGCGAGCATGGAGAGTTCATGTCGACCACCTGTACCGGGATGCAGGGCGCACTGTCCCCTACGGCCGATGGCCTGCGGAAGACGACCGTGTCCTCTTTCTCGTGCAGACCAACAGCGATACGCCCGTGTCGAACTACCCTCAGTCCGTGCCTCTACCACAAGACCCCCTACGCGATCGCCAATGTGAAGGAGCAGCTGGCCGTCGCAGAGGAAGACGTTTTCGTCGCAGACAGGGATATGGGCTGGACTCTGTGATGATGCGACATGTGTTGGTCTCTGACCCGTTGAGTGGTACTATGGGGGAAAATTTGTCTTCGGCGACCTTGCCGTCTTCCTCGCCGTCCTTGCCTTCATCCTCGGCAGCTTCGCGGCCCTCTACCTTCTCGCCTTTGCAGGCCCTGCCCCTGGCGTCGCAAGTGTCCCGTGAACGCAGCAGGAGTCGAGATGTTGTTCGCCCACCACGCTTTGATGAGGATGATGAGGCGGTACCGTCGTCCGATGCTGATGTGGCCCGTGAAGAGAGTTCGTGAGATGCCTCATGAGTGCTGAGTGTGGTCGTTAAGAGTTGTCTTCCTGATGCAGGCCGTAAGTGCTTGAGTATGATGTCGGGATCTTTGGATGTACAGTTTGTGTAAGCCTCGACCGAGGCAGGCTTTGCGGAGAAAAGGCCACTACACATTAAAAAAAAAAACCCTAAACCCTAAACCCCTAAACCCTAAACCCTAAACCCCTCACGCAAAAAAAAAAACCCTAAACCCCTAAACCCTAAACCCTAAACCCCTCACGCAAAAGACAATGTCACGACTTCCGGAAACGAAGCGCTTAATACAGGGCACTGAGAAGCACCGGGTTTCTGAGAGGGTTTCTTAAACCGGGTTGTTTGTAGTTGTTCTTAAGCGGAGTATCTTGAGGGTTCCTATACGTGTCCTTAGGGGGATTTCTATAAGGGTTCAGCAAGTTAATTACAGCTGCACATAAGGGTCTCCATAATCGGACATAGTAACAGTCGTCTCAGGCTTTCTTATGGAATAATTCAAACATGTACCCTCAATACCCTATCCTAATAATTCAGGTCCCCATATCATCCTCTTCTCATATGGCCCGCTCTGATGTCCATTGTGATACTATCCACCTGGACCCCAAACCCTAAACCCTAAACAACCCAAACCCTAAGCCCTAACCCTAAACCCGAGAATATTGTTTTCGCCCTGGCGGGAAACCCCCAAAACCTGAGTCCCAGAGCTGCAGATCCCTCATGTAGAGGTCTGCCAGCAGACCTAATTGAAAGTATATACAGGCCCGGTGCAGCCCTCCAAAGCCGGACAATATAAATGAATATGTATTCATATAAATATATATATATATATACATACATACAGGGATTTTTGTTTAGTTAGTTGTATATATATATATATGGATGGGGGAGACACACAATTTATGAAGGCCCCTGATTTGCGGACTTCAGCCACAGTCACAGTACTCTGGAGACCTACGTTACCAAAACGAAACACACATCGGTTTAGGGTTTAGGATTTAGGGTTTAGGGTTTAGGGCGTCCTCAACAGGGCGTCCACTATGAGATGACAATTCGAAACACGTCAGGGCCTCGAGGAATTGTCAGTGGGCCTTTGGGTTTAGGGTTCAGGACTTAGGGTAGGGGCCTTAATAATTAGACTGGGGTTTTGGGGGTTCCTTCGTATAATTATAGTAAAGTATACCCCAAAACCCTATTCTAACAATTAAGGCCCCTATATTAGGGTTTGTTCGGAGTTTAGGGTCGGAGATTTTGCATAGGACTCAAGGTCTGCCTTTTAGGGGATGTTGCTGAAGAGTTAAGTTGCGGCTGTTGACGATCATCGCGACCTCATGTGATAGCACCAACCCTACCTTGAGGGTAAATATCCAACTCCTTTCTATTGTAAGGTCTGATCCTACAGGTGCAAGCCCTAAACCCCAAACGCTAAGCCCCACTAACAACACCAGCTCTACTCTTCGGTTGCATGCGGGTTTGTTGATGGTTGGTTTAGGGTTTAGGGTTTAGGGTTTAGGGTTTAGGGTTTAGGGTTGCTGTTTCCGTTTCTGCACTGCGCAATGGGCAAAGGTAAACCTAGTAAGCATGAACCCTCTTAACCCCTGAAGCCCTAAACCCCTGAACCCCGAGAGCCCAATACCCCTTAATAACGGAAGAAGTCTTAAATCTTCATCTTACGGGGTCAATATACTTGAAGGTCTACTCCTAAATTTAGGGGTATGGGGCTCTCTTGGAACCCTAAAGCCTAAACCCCTAAACCTTAGTCTTGCAATCCTAACCCCACTTCTTGAAATCGGGGCGACTTGAGGTTGTCTCACCGCGAGAGTCTCACAAAGGAACCTCAAAGTCTCATATAGGGGCCTTAGTAATTGCCTTTCTATTTTTCGGGGTTTCCTTACAATAGCAGAAGTATAATATCCCCCAAGACTTTGTTCCAATTATTGAGGCCCCTAGATTAAACAGTTTTAGGGATTAGGGTTTGGGGTTTAGGCTTGAAGCCTGCCTCCAAAGTTCTGGTTCTCTGTAATTAACCCCCATACTACTTCGTGTTTGGGGTTCGAGTCGGGGATGTATATTATTTCTATTCATGGGCTTGAAGATCTCAAGGAAGGCCAAAGTACCTATCTAGTAGAATGTCGGGTTTGAGAAAAGGAATCCGTATTGTGATTTGGGTAATATAGGGGTCTAAATAATTACCTACACTATCTTGGGGGTTTCTTATTCTAGCTATAGTATAACATACCCCAAAGCCTTAGTCTAATTATTAAGGCCCCTACATTAGCCCCCATAACAGTACCTGCGGTTCATAATATAAGTCCTGCATTACCCAGAATAATGAATGTACCCGAATTCCCATAGTTTAGGGTCCTTAAGGTAGTGCAGAGTTTGTAACCCTAAACCCTAAACCCTAAACCACATCATCAACAGTAGTCTAGGGTTGAAACCATGGGCCCCTAGTATAGGCCCTTAACCCTGGGATCGTTATATACCTACTATATACCCTATATGTACCCTTAAACGTCCCTAGACAGGCCTAAGGGTTCATATTACGGGCCCATACTTCTAACCTTATAGAAGTAAGACCCCTTCGGGGATGCAACTCTGAATCCTGTAGCGCTGACCCTGGGATGATGCGGTGGTGGTCGCACCGGGGAGACTTCAGACCTCTTACGAAAGCAATGCACCGTAAGTTGCATGTAGGATCCTGTATTGAGTAGATAGATAGCTAGATAGATAGCTAGCTAGATAGATAGGATAGATAGCTAGCTAGCTAGATAGATAGATAGATAGATAGATAGATCGATAGAGATTTGTATGTTAATTCATTTTTCTTTTATGTAGTTACTTACTTGTTAATGCTTGCTTTATACCTATATACATAAGCATATTATATATATATATATGTATGTATGTATCATCTTCCTTAATTGAAGGCCGGTGAGCTGCATGGTTGCAAGACCACTGTTTTCAAGGCTAAAGGAATTAGCACGCGGCTCGTGCTGGCTGAGTTGACAAACTACGGTTGAGGGTTTAGGACTTCGGATTAGGGTTTAGAATGCTCCGCCAGTCTCTATGGTAGCTCCTTTTTGTGATTACCTTCTCGGATCCTGAAGATGGAGTTTGTTTATCCAGTGAAAGGAGCTAGGATGGAGTATGACAAGGTCTCCTTAGCCTCTCCATCCCCAAGATCCCATCAAGCGCTTTGTCCCTAAACCCTAAAGCCCCAAAACCCCAAACACCCCATTAAAAAAAAAAAACACAAGTAAGCCCGAAAGAAATAAAGCGCCCTGTTCGCAAAAGAAGCAAAACAAGACATAAGTAAACCCGAAAGCCCCAAATCCCTGGTCCGCTTCGAGCCCGAGGTTTATCAGCTTCGGGGTCTCCGACACTGCAAAGAGGCACGGACCAGGGCAGAGACCGGGTGCGGTCGGGGGTCGAGGATTTTGAGGCTTGGGGTTTTACGGTTTAAGGATCGAGGATATAGGATTTAGGGGGCCCAGGGTCTCGCGGCATTGGTGTGCTATAAATAGGGATCGGAATACTCGGCAATGGTGTCCTCTTACCTACTTTTCCTATAGAACTCTTACTTATATAGGAAAAGGCAGTAAGTTATGCTGTCGTAGCCCCCGAACCCCATTCGAACGATTGAGGCCCCTATATCAGGTTTCAAAGGTTCGGGCATTCAGCTTTCCGTGTTCTTATTGCGGCCCTCGATGGAGGGATCACCAAGGATGTTAAGACAGTCCCAGGAAGGGGCTTAGGGCTTTTGGGTTGCAGGGTTTAGGGCTTAGGGCGTGAGGTAAGAGCTCAGGGTTGAGGGGTCCTATATATATATATATTTATTTATTTATTTATTTATTTATTTGTTTATTTATTTATGGATGTATACATACATATATATATATATATATACACACTAGATATATATATATATATACATAGGTGTGTATATATATATATATATATATGTGTATAGAGATGTTTGTATATATATATACATACACATAACATACACATATGTATGTATATATATATATATAGAAACTGCGAAACAAACATCTGATCACCATGAGAAATAAAGGAGCGGAAAAGACAAGGGGAGGGAGAAGAGGGGAGGGAGGTGGTTTGCACAATCTTAACGCGGACCAACGCCTAAAGCCGGTTAGTTAGGTTTTGGGTTTCGGGAACGCCCCAAACTATGCCCTGCAGAGCCTGGGCTTCAGAATACTTGAAAACACTTGAGTTCTGGTGAACACGGTTAAACCAAAAAAGCATGGTTAAAGCCCCTATAGATCCCTAAACCCTAAACCCTAAACCCTAAACCCTAAACTGTAAGACTCCTATAGATCCCTTTCAAGGGACCCCAAACCCTAAACCCTAGGACCCCCAAAGACTCCTTCAAAGGGACCCTAAGCCCCTGGAGGATGTTGATCCGAAGCCACTCAGAGCCCAGTCTCGACCGCGATGATTGAGGCACAGAGTTTAGAGAAGTTTGGGGCTTGGGGGTTTAGGGGTTTAGGAGTTTAGGGGTTTAGGGGTTTAGGGATTTAGGGGTTTTAGGTTTAGGGGTTCAGGAGTTTAGGGGTTTAGGGATTTAGGGGTTTAGGGTTCAGGGTTCCCGGGGTTGGGAGGTTATGTTTTCTATTTTTTCGTTTCGAGTGTCGTTGGTGTATTATGTTTCCACGTGTGTGTTTCAGAGTGTCTTGGGTTTGGGGGTCTCTAGGGTTTTGCGATTGTTTTTTCTTTCCAGGTTTTTAGGACTTTTAGTATGTAGTGTGTATATGGTATTGGGTTTATAGGTCGCATGTTCGAGGCCTCCTCGATGTTAGGACTCCTTTACGGGTTCCGTTAAGGGTCGCGGTTTAGGGTTTGGGGTTTAGGGTTTAGGGTTTAGTCAAGCCTGAACCCGTATCACCGCCCCCACCCCCAATCAAAAAAAAAAGCACCCATAAACCCCAAGCAACCCCAAATCCCTCCTCAAAAGCGGGGCAAAAACAACGACAGCACAACATCGGAGAGGCTGGCTCCCTGGAGTTCGGGGCGATTCGCTACCTGAGATCCGACAGAGGAGCTAAATTCGGGCTTAGGCCTTCTTTAAGGTGTTACGGCCTAGGGTAGCTACCTCTACATAGGTCTATAGACACAAATCTGTGTTTGTACATGTATGTATGTATGTATGTATGTATGTATGAGGGCTCAGATCGCCGCACCAGCGCGGAAAACTTTGCCCCAGGCTGGTTTAGCCCAGCCGACTCTTTGCGAGTCCAGCCATTGGACTTCATCCGCGCTCTCCGAACTGGCACCGTCGCCAACGTGCACGACGGTCGAAAGCCAGAGCAGCCCGAAAGTCGGGCAGACGTTTGACAGAGGTTCAAACGAGGATCCTCGACAACCACCACGGCTCTGGGAGGATACAGCGACCAGTCTGGTCTTCCATGGGAAAGCAGGCATGGAACCCCAGAGGTGGCTATGCAAGTGGCTCACAGCAACGCTATTGGCGTGGTGCATGGCCGAGACAGCAGGACACCCAGTATGCCTTCCCAACCTACGACAGCCGCAGAGTCACGACGGACTGGGACAGACCACACCAAGAGAGCAGTGGAGCAAGTGGGGATACCTCACTGGTCAACTTGATACAGACTGCTGTCAATCATACCAGACGAGCAGAGCAAAAGGTGTTGACCACGGAGAAGAAGCGCGCAGAGAGGGAAGCGATGTGGACAAAGTACGAGGCAGATATGAAGATTTCCTATGCCAAGGAGTATGCGAAGTACCGAAAGGACTTAGAGCGGATAGACACAGAGCTTGTCAAGGCCCTCAACGAGCAAGATGCTACCCGCCAAGCATTGCTCCATGTACATGCCCAAGGAGCTCCGAAGGAGATCTCGGCGGAGGAGGCCAGAGTGGACCAGCTGTTTGCAGGCTGGCGCGAACAGGAGTCCCAGGACATGAGTGGGGTCCTCCAGAGGGCCATTGCTGCTACCAAAAGTCCATCTGTCGGTGCCCCGACGACAGGGATCCCGACAGTGCCGACAGTTTACCCTGGACCACCACCAGGTTTCGAGAGAGCAATGGATGTGGACCTGACGGGGCACCATGCAATGGCAAAAGCACCGACCCCGGCTTGGGAAGCTATTCCTTCCCACCCTGCGCCGCCAGCGGGATATGCTGGGCTGGAAGCGGTCGGTCCCTACCTTACGTCTCCTGGGAGCTCGTACGCCAAGGTCAAAACAACCTCCCCCACGACAAGAGTGAGCCCGTATGGGGAAGAGGAGGCAGAAGCGGAGACATCTGGAGAGGGTTTGGCAGGACGCATCGCTACGAGAAGAGCAATGACACCTTTTGGAGGAGCGGCGACCTCCCATATCAGGCAAATCGACCCCAGCAAGCCAGCTGTTCAGGTCCTCATAGACGACGGCAATGTAGGAGACACGGATGCGGAACCAAAGCCAGCAGCAGGAGAAGGCCAACAGAATCGAAACGACGGAATGGAGCCGACATGACTTCAAGTAGAAAAGGGCCGGTGGCTCCAGTGCCTTCTACTCAGCTTCATCAAGGGCTGGTCGGGCGAAGACTAGTTGAGGATCCTGGGGCTGATCCTCCTAGGTCTGTGCACCCGAGCGGTCTTCTTGTTGAATTTGGGGATCTGGCGCTGGAAGACTCAGGGTCCTTTTGGTCTCACACCTCTTTGCTTAGGAGATTTTCCTGGAAGGGAGTAAGTGAGCGCTGGGCTTTGCAACTCTGCTTTAAAACATGTACAGCTGACGGGTGGTCGTGGCCGATTGTGACTGAACTCCTCATTTGTGCTCCATGCCCTAGTGGTGAGGGGACAGGCCTACAAGCTTGGTATTGGCATGTAAAGTCTGTTCCTAAGCCGCCGTCTTCCTCGCGAGGTGCTGACCATCATTGGGTTCTTGATGTGTCATGCCCTCCTACGCCCCTGCGCGCCTTCGCTTTCCGCGCAGAACAGCACAAGGAGTGGGAACACGATAGTTTTGGTCTTTATGGAATAGTCGGTACTAGTTCACCGACCAATTTTGGCAATAGCTACTTTTTCTGCCGCTGTAGCCGGCACATAGCGAGGGCGCGAAAGAACCGAATCGGTCGCTCTGGGTCGGTCGCCTCGTCTATCCCTTTCCGAAACCAGCCACTCACTGGCTGCAAACTTTCGCATCCTTCGGCTACACTCAGTAGCTGTGGCGAATCAGCCCAGGATGCTATCATTGATCATGGTGACAATCACCTTTTGTGCTTAACTCAATTTGCACATGGTTTTGCGATTGCCTTCGGCGCTGTTGTTACGCTTGCCTTGTGGAGACTCGCGCTTTCTGCCATTCCGGGGCGCTCCCCTTTGGTTAGGCTTATCACATTGCCGTCCGCATCAATTGCCCCTGCCGTTGTACTGCCTCTAGGTCAAGTTAGCATGCCATTGCGAATTGACCCAATTGGCTGTTCGCAGACACCTGGTCGAAGACAAAAGGCCTTTAGGCGACCATTTTCAGTCATGCGCGGCTGCTGCCTGACCACTGCCTTCCGGCTATGCTTTGGTCTATATGTGTTGCCATGGCAAGTATGGGCTGTGCCTGATGGCTTCTCTGAAGCTCTGCAGAGTGTTGAGCGGTTGCATGTTTTGATGCCTTCTCAGATCCCAACCGGTATTCCTGAGGCAAGCCCAGCTCATGGACCCTCTGAAGACCAGGGCAATTCTGCTCGCTCTGAAAGCTCCCTCGAGCAGGCCCGACGTCATGTTGCTGAAGTTCAATATGAGGCTTTGTCTGAGGCCGAAGCTGTCGCCACAGCTTCCCAGGCGGGTGCACTGCCAACTGAAGAACACCCTACGGACCCTTCGCGACCACAAGTCCCCACAATTGGGGCTGCAATAATGGCACCCCATTATCAGACCTGCTTTGTTAACCTTGAGGTTCCTCAAGGGGTTGGTGCTTCGGAATTGCTTGGATGCATTCGGCATACAGACGCGCAACTCCCTTTCGAGCTGCTTGATTGCATTTCACCGGTTGACCCTACCCCCTTTCCAGGTGCCCTGACGTACGTTGCTTACACAAGTGCACTGGATGGGCATGATCACGCCACAGTCGTCGTAAACTTGCAGCCTGCAGGAGGACCTGTTTTCTCAACAGTTCTACCAGCCTCCTTGCGGTTCGCTGAATGGGTCTCTTTTGCAATGCCAATGCTACCTGTTGGCAGTTTCAATGTGAACCTATATGTCGGACCCTCCAGTGTCCCGCATCCTGTTGACGAGGACCTCAGACTCGATCACGGAGCCGTCCTCACAGTTTGTGATGCGAGGCGTACGTATCAACCGGGGCCCTTTCAGGGCGCTTTGCTTGCTGGGGCTGCACACTGGAGGTCTTTTCGGGTCCCGGGGGTTCCTGTTGTTGAGGGAGTCTGCCTTCTTTACCGTGATAAAAGGTGGTTTCTTCCCTCGCAAACGCTTACGGAAGATCATCTTCATGCGGCTGCCGCCACCACGGTTGGCTGTTGCATACAGGAAACCAACTTTGCCCTGGCGTGTAGCCCGCAGACTGCCGATCTTTGCCTCCACGGGCAGAAATGCCAAGGCATTGCTCTTCTTGTCGATAAGCCTACAGGTATAGCTCACAGTAGCGAAGACCCTACCACAGGCGAGGTTTTTGTATTCCTTGACTTTCGCCCCCTTGGGGTTCGACCATATGGTTGGTGTCAAAGTGGATGTAATTTGCACCTTCCAACTGTTCTACGTGCCCATGAAACGGAACTGCCGCCAGGCATCGAGATAGAAGTTGTTGGTAAGGAAGCCCAAGGATACTATGTTGAGGTTTCGTCCGGAGAAGTCCTTGTCTTTAGAGCTGTCCCGGACAGCGACTACAGTAGCCAGCATCAGCAAGCCAGTGCTGATAATCACTCTGATGAAGAGGAGGAATCTGATGATGTTGAAGAAGATGTTGATGCTGGAGGGATAAGGTCCCGGGGCAGCAGCCCTCATACACAGCGAAGTCGGTCCCCGCGGGGCGATCTGCTCTCACTTGGCTCCCCAGACCAGACGGGTTTTCCCTCCCAATCTGAGGTCTCCGTCTTTGACACGCAGACACGCCCACAGGCCAGCAGGTCTGTTCTTGATGCTACAGATGCAGAGGCACACATCCGTAGGCTTCGAGATCATCAGCCAACCACTCTTTATGGGCCGCTTGAGGTTGTCTCTGCAGGATGCATGTCAGCTACTGACCGTGTCTTCACCCCATGTACCTTCCAGGTATATGTCCCCGACTATCAGGTTTTGACTGTTTCGCCCGTTCTCGGTCTTCCTTGTGTTGAGTCCGAGGCACTGCGAGAAGTTCGCAATTCCCTTGATAGCCGGCTTCCCCCTTTCTTTGAAGGTCTTGTTCCGACAAAACCCCAACTTGGCAGAGACTTTGGGTCCCTCGTTCTTGTCCCTTCATGGCATGCCCCTTCAGGCCGACACACTGTCGTGTTT